AATCGGAGAGAGGGGGGGGGGAAGAGAAAGAGAAAGAGAAAGAGGGGAAGAAAGAGGGAGAGAGAAATAGAGAGGAAAAGGGAGAAAGAGGGAAAGAGAAAGAAAGAGAGAGATGGAGAGGGAGAGGGAGAGAGAAAGAGAGAGAGAAAAAGAAGAGAGGAAGGGAGAAAGAAAGGGAGAGAGAGAAATAGAGAGGGAGAGAAAGAAAGAGGGAGAGAGGGAGAGAGAAAGAAAGAGAGATGGAGAGGGAGAGGGAGAGGGAGAGAGAAAGAGAGAGAAAAAGAGGAAAGGAAGGGAGAAAGAGAGAAAGGGAGAGAGAGAAATAGAGAGGGAGAGAAAGAAAGAGAAAGAAAGAGGGAGAGAGGGAGAGAGAAAGAAAGGGAGAGAGAAATAGAGGGAGAGAGAGAGAAAGAGGGAGAGAGAGATTAAATTAGTAACATGGTTGTTAAGTGAATCTGGTTTCCCCACTAACTTTGCTTGTCAGAAGGTTGCAAAAGGCGATCACATGACCCTGGAACAATGTGACCATCATAAATATGAATCGGTTGCCAAGCATCGAAATGTAAATCACATGACCTTGGGGATGCTGCAACGGTCATAAGTGTGAAAAATGGTCATAAGTCACTTTTTTCATTGCCGTTGTAACTTTGAACAGTCACTAAGCAAACTGTTGTAAGTCAAGGACTACCTGTACTTTATCATTTTTTTTTCCATTTTTTTTTTTAGTCAAGTTTTTGACACCTCGCTAGGTGACTGGTGGTACTTGAATGTTTCTATATTCTAAAAGTGGTACAATCAGTGAAAAGGTTGAAATGCCCTGCTATAAAGAACCTGGATGATTTTTCAAAGAGAGGTTACTCTAGCACAGGGGTAGGCAACCTCGGCTCTTTTATGACTCCTGGACTTCAACTCCCAGAATTTCTGAATCAGCATAGCTACCCCTGCTCTAGCATAAAAGTAACATTCAATCCATCTTTTACGTCCCCCTGCATTAAACAAATCCCTGCATTAGGATTACCTTTAATAGAAAGATAAAAAAAACTAGAACCAAACTAAAGTGATGGAATCTGAAGTATTGACCTTTCCTGTAATATAAGGAGTCCTTTGACACTCTATCAAAAGCTTTCAAACCACCCAACTATTTGCTTCCAACAAAAGTAAAATAGTTTTGATTCTAGTTGATTGATTCTAGTTTTTTGTCTTTTTATTAAAGGTAACCCTAATGCAGGGATTCTAGTTTTTGAAAGCTTATTGAAAGCGAGCAAACACTAAGGGATAAAACTGCCTAACACATATTAGTGTCAGAACACTCTCTAATATATCCATCACACATGTGCTTAAAATACAAAAATGTTGAGCCCTTTGATCGGTCAATTTCTCCACAGTAACCCCAAGTTTCTAGAGGTAATTTTGTTTTTCCTGGGGAAAAATAGAAAGGGTGGAGAGATATGTAAGCTTGTTTTAAAGATGTTCTGTAAAATAATTTGGCTTTGTTCTGTTAATTTGTCAGTAGGCTTAGAGCAGAGGTGTCAAACTCAATTTCATTGAGGGCCACATCAGCATTGTGGTTGCCCTCAGAGGGCCTGGTGGGTGTGGCCAGGGTGGGTGCGGCCTACTGGGTGGGCATGGATGGAGTGGGTGTGGCCTACTGGGTGGGTATGGCCAGCTCTACATCGTTCGCGTCAAGGGTGTCTGTGGGGGCCTGGGCAGGAGTGGGACAGATCTGAGGGTCTCTGGCAGAAGGGGGTGGGACCAGGGCAAGTGCCAAGGCATGGTTCACTGGAGGAGCCTCTCTGTTCCTCTCAGGCCATGCGGGGGGGGGGGCTTATGGAGCTAAGACTGAATGCATTTCAGCATAGATGGCCATCACAAAATTGTACATTGGCTCCCTCCCAGCCGGCCTGGGCCAGGGCCAAGGCAGAGGGGGCTGTTCCCTCACTGTTTCCAGGATGGCTTCACGGGCCACATGAAACCACTTCGCGGGCTGCATCCGGCCCCTGGACCTTGTGTTTGACATGTCTGGCTTAGAGGCAAATATATACAGAAGAAGGAATACAGGTAGTCCTCGATTTACAATAGTTTAATGACCATTCAAAGCACTGAAAAAAGTGACTTACGACCATTTTTTCACATGACTGTTGTAGCATCCCCATGATCATGTAATCAAAATTCAGATGCTTGGCAACTGACTCATATTTATGACGTCTATAGTGTCCTGGAGTCATGTGATCACTGTTTATGACCTTCTGACCAGCAAAGTCAATGGGGAAGCCAGATTCACTTAACAACCATATTACTAATTTAATAACTGCACTAGTTCAGTTAGCAACTGTGTTCAAGAAAAGTCGTAAAATGGGGCAAAACTCATTTAACAAATGTCTCACAACAGAAATTTTGGGCTCAATTGTGATCGTAATTCAAGAACTGCTTATATTAGTAATATTTGTGACTATCATCAGTTGTTATTCCTATGCAAAGTTACCCTGATTTGTTGTTTTAACTAGGCTTCAGTACTTTTGCAAAGTACTGGATAAACTGAATTGTACTAAATCAGGGATAGGCAACCTTGGCTCTTTTATGACTCGTGGGCTTCAACTCCCAGAATTCCTCAGCCAGCATGGCTCAGCTTGGAAACCTCTCCCTTTTCCCTCAGCATGGCTGGCTCAGGAATTCTGGGAGTTGAAGTCCATGAGTCATAAAAGAGCCAAGTTGCCTAACCCTGTACTAAATATTCCTAGAAGGAACATAAATATGCAATAAAATAAGGAAATTTCTGTTAATTTTTGCTCTTCACTTCACAAACATGTAGGAACTTTGTTGGGATCCACTAATTCACTAACTGCATTCACTATTGCATGGATCTGTCCTGTTTACAACTCTCACTGTGATCAGGAATGCCGCTCAACACAAGATGTTTTCTTAGGATAATGGGAAGATAATAAATTCCAACCTCCCTACAACCATTTTGTAGTCCAATTACTCACATTAAGTCAATGGGAAACCAAATCTTAACAGGATATATCTACATGTGCTTATTTTGCCATGAAATACAGGTAAAGCAACCCAAACAATTGTTAGCCTCAACTATCTACTGAAGGGAAGAGTTACAAGATTCTCTAGTAGCTTGGCCGTAAATCAAGGAAGAACTGTAGGGGAAAATGTTGGCTTTTTGCAAGCCATAATAATAAAAGTCAAGGAAAGAGGAGAACCACAGCTAACTGTTATATAGGAATATGAGTATATGCAAACAGAGAGGGGCATCTGTGCAAATGCGCTGGGAGGCTGCATACCAAGAGCAGGCTGTGGCTTTTCTTGCTGCCAACACAGAGACTTCAACATGCTTGGTCAGGTTCCTATTTATCCATTAAGCCATAAAATGTACCCCACCCCTGTAATAGATGAGAGATTCAGGATACCCATTACACTCAATCCAAGTCAGTGTTGAGTTGAATGGCCTTCTGAATCTAATCTATAAATAATTTTTTATTTGCCTTTTAATATATATTCGGGTATAGCAAAATAACAGAGGCTTTGTTGTGTAATTGTACCCATCTGTACTTTGCTTCTTATATCCCTGTGTTACTGCTTGATTATTTGGTGCGTGGGCTATACCTGTATAAGAATGCTTACTTATATTTTTATTTCCATATTACCATTATAAAGAATAATTGAGCACAGTTTAAGATTTAATATGTCTTTCTTCTCTTCATTTCAAGAAATGTAATTAATACACAGCAGACAAATTGATCTTTTATTTCAACTTCAGTCATGGAATTCTAATGTTCTTTTTTGCTGGCCCTCTTTTCTTTTTTTTCTGAACATGCAATTAAAGTTGACTTTTAGGTCACCTCTATCAACATCATGAGGCTGATTAGAGCCCTGTGACAATTTCAGGAGCAGCACTCCAGAAGCCCTCTGCAAAGGGTCTTTACTTAGGGTTAAACCTGCAAGTGTCTATAGTTTCTCATAATGTTCAAAGGATAATTGATTTAATTTCACCGGTTAACTGACTATCATAGAAAATGTCAAGTGTATTTCACCTCAGTTTGAAGCAACCATTTTTGATTTTATATCTTTCAGATATACTTTTTCTTCTGCCTTAGCCCCTGTGAAATCTGGAGTATAACATATCTCGAGGGCTGATACATGCATCTTAATATATTTTACTTTTACCCTAAGAAATAGTGAGAGCCAGTTTGGTGTAGCGCTTAAGGCTTCAAACTAGAACTCAAGAGATTGAATTCTAGTCCAGTCTTAGGCACAAAGCCACTTGGGTGTCCTTGGACAGTCATTCTCTCTCAGCTCTGGGAAGCAGGCAATGGTAAACCACATCCAAAAAAAACTTGCCAGGAAAACTGTAGGGACTTATCAAGGCAGGAGGGTCAGGAATAATAATCATGAAAAACTTAACAGAACGGAAAGGAAAGAGGAAAGGGAAAGAGGAAGGGAAAAGGGAAGTAGAGAGAGGAGGGAAAAGGGAAAAGATATGCCAAAAATAATTCTGATATTATATTGATGCATCCGATGAAATGTTTATAATTTAAAAAAAAACTTGAAATGCAAAACTAAAAACAATGGGATACGTCCAACATTGTATTATCTAACCTGAATAGATTTTCCCTTGATCCTTTAAACTCTTCTCTACCATGTCCTCTAAGCTTCATCCTATTCTAAAGGGTATCTTTCCAACAGATGATGATGATGATGATGATGATGATGATGATGATGATGATAATAATAATAATAATAATAATAATAATAATAATAATAATAATAATGTTGGAAGGGACCTTGGAGGTCATCTAGTCCAACCCCCTGCTCAGGCAGGAAATCCTACACCATTTCGGACAAATTATGGATGCAATGAAATACATCATACCTTATGTAATGCTTCCAAGTAAACATCCTGTAGCAAGCAGGGTTTTTTAAAAAAAAAAAAAATATGGGGCTGACTAACTGTATTGTTTACTTAATGAAGTTTCCATTCTACATATACTTACCTAAGAACAAATCCCAGGGCTGAACTGCGGGCTGTGTAACCCATTTCAGCAAAATATGACTGAAGGTCTGCACATCACAATTTATGAAGATTCCTTCTGCCCAGTTTGGGGGGCAATTTCTGTTGCAGGAAATTACTTCTTGCCATGAAGTAAAACTTCTGTTTTTCTGGAGCAAAGGCAAAAATAGTGTAACCTGATCAATATTGTCACTGAGAACAAATTGTTTCCTTTCTCAAATAAAAGAGTGACTAACCAGAGAAGAGCTGTGTTTTAAATAAAGGGTACCATACATAAGCTACATATGTCTCTGGTGCTGCTTTAATTGACTTAGGGGAATTTCTGAAGGTGAGAAAAGCCACAGTCGTCGCCAGAATTCCTTCTACTATCCCTCTTACACAAAGGGATACCTGTGTAACAAGCCTGTTTACAGCTTATGATTGTCATCACAGGATCTTCCACGGGTTGCCCTTTGCAGCAGAGATTAAGCGGAAAACTGGATGACACAGAATTTGTTCTGCAATTAAGCTTAGACTGCAGAATTTTCTCTTCTCCAAAGACAGATCAGGCTGAAAGTTACCTTTATCAGCCACCTTTCAGGCCTGTCCCATCACGTTTGGATACTTGTCATTCACTGTACATCAAAAATGGGTAGGACCAGAACCCAAAGTGAACCTGCAAGGTTTAAGACCCACCTGGCCCCCATTCTGCTTCACAAACTGCAAAAAAAAAAAAAAAAAAAACCTAGCAACAACCTCTCCTCCACAAAACCCAGCATAAATTTCTGGGTTTGTTCATTCTGAAAGTGGCAGATGCAGATAAAGTAGGTGACATGTGGTTCCCAAGCTGCTCTTTTTGAACTCATATTTTAGAGAAAGGATTGGCAATCCACAGGGCTCCATATGGCCCAATTTCATTTTTGCAACCAAGGAAGCTCACCCAAATTTGTATTGCCAAAATTTAGAGGAGAACCCCCATTTTTTTTTTTTAGCAGACTGTGATTATTGCCTTTCTTCTTTCACTGCTGTTGAAAGATTAACCATGGAAGTTTTTTAAGCCTCTGCTGGGCTTAAGATGCCAATCTAGAGCTTTAAAAAGATAATCAGAATCACAGACAAACAAACCCCCACAAACGGCTTCAGTCCAACTGATAAATCTCTTGCTGCTAATGAAGTTCAAAGCATTTGAAAAATGCAGCTTGATTAAGGAAGGGGGGGGATCCTTACCAAGTCTTTTTCATCCTTGGTTGGTGTCAAAAAGCTTAACATAGCCAGAATTTAAACTGGAGACCAAATTCTAATGCCTGAATTATAGGCAAGGTTAATTGAAACAATATGGGGGGGGGTTACAATTGCAAGCCATTTCTATGTTGCTTTGAAGAGACTTCTAATCTGAATCAGCCCATCAAGGAGAAACACATTCTAGTTCCCTGTTTTTAGGAGGTGAGGAGAGCCAAAGAAAAGAGGAACTGTTCCTCATAATGGTTTGACTACTTTGGAATATTTCACTGGTGGAATATAGACTGGTCCCTCTTTAATAGCCTCTAGGAAATTGAAGATATTCAATTAAGTATGACAGATAAATGACAAAGTATCAATACAGATATAAAACGTGGGCAATACAGAGCATTATTAGAACTCTCTCCAAAATATCTGAGTTGACATATTTAACTGAATCAAAAAAAATTTCACATTCAACTGAATATATCGCCTGAGATATTTTGGAGAGGCTTCCATTGATGCTGTGTATTGCCCATATTTTATATCTATATTGATGTTTGATATAAATATATTTAAAAATCAAAATATGTTTTGATCTTAATCTCTTGGTATCGATCGATTTTCTGATTACAGTGTAATTTTAATTGTACCATTGATTATGGGATTATGTGCCAACGACTCTTAGCAACCACATAGATACCATAATAGATGCTTTAATTTTTCTTTATATTGTATGAGCTACTATGAGTTGTATGAGATATAAATCAATAAGTACTTCTACAAAGATATATCCATGAAGTTGTTAGCTCTATTCAAGGTGGACTTTTAAAAACTTCTGAACAACAGCAAGTCCTAATTACTTAAATTTTAAGTAAATAAATGCTTAGTTTTCATTGTCATTTTAGTCTTGATTAGATCTAGGAACACAACAAAAAGCAGCTAGTCTCCTCTATGTTTTTATTACAATTATTTTTATGGAGATTTTATTGAATTCCTTGGTTTTTGACTATGGAACAAAACATATGATTATGAAAATAAAATAAACAAATTCCATTTCTAAATAGAAAATTCTAATGCCACACAAGAGAGTACTACAACAGATACAACTTAAAATTTGGCAGCAGCAGAAATTCTTCTTTAAAAAGGCATGAAAAACTTATCACTTGAGTAAAACATGACGTTATTCCAGAAATCAATGTGTGCTTTTCATTTCTCTTTATCTTAGAACTGTAGAAGCTTTTGGAAAAACCAATAAAAATATGTTTTTTCTCCATTACGAAGGAAATGTTTTGTAATTTTGCAAGGAAGCAACCTTGAACCAGCGTTCAAAATACAGAAAGTTCATGGCCAGTTCTGATTTCTTCTCATATCTCAAAATTACTTGAGAATTCTTATTTCCCAGACAAAAGGAAAAAAGCAGAGGCAGAGTTTTTCTTGTTAAAAAAAATAATGCCTGATTTGCCACTTTTCTTAAAAAAAAAAAATCTATGCAATACTGTTCCCAAAAGAAAATAAACAGGCTACTCAAGTTTTTTTAAAAACACTTCCCTATAGAATGCTTTTTCTTACATTCTGACTACTAGCAGCCAACAACTTAGCACAGGGATAGGCAACCTTGGCTCTTTTATGACTCGTGGGCTTCAACTCCCAGAATTCTTGAGCCAGCATGTCTAGCTCAGGAATTCTGGGAGTGGAAGTCCATGAGTCATAAAAGAGCCAAGGTTGCCTACCCCTGACTTAGCGCATTTGTTATAGTTCAAAATTATGATGGCCTTGGAAAAAGTGATTTATCACCTCTGCTCCTGCTTAAAACCGTCACATCACCCTTATGGTCACATGACCACAATTTGAGGGCTTGGCAACCAGTTTGCATTTGCAATCGGATTCAGTATCCTGTTGTGACCTGATCACAATGTGCAACCATTTTTGCTGATGTCCAGCAAAAAAAAAAAAAAAAACACCCATTGGGGAACTGAATTTGGGAACTGCATTGGGAACTGCATGATTTGCTTAATGACAGTGGTGATTCTCTTAATGACTTCCATAGACATTGTTGTAATTTTGGGTCTGACTTGACTTACAGCCGCAAATTCTGGTCTCCACAGTGGTTGTAATTCGAGGAGGCCTACCTATTCAGTGCTGAGAAAACCTGCCAGCATCTCCATGCCTCACTGAGAATTTTCCACTGAATATTAATAAACAGGTCCCCCAAAAAGAAAATACAGTTCATCACGTTTTCTTGCATGTAGAGGCAGTTGAAATATGTGGTTGTACCTATCCTTATTTTACCCTAATTCCTTATTTCCTTCCCCTCCCCCTTTCCTTTTACCCCTCCCTTTACCACACCTGTATTGTTCCTATTTTTCCTCACCTATATAAATTTAATAAAATTTTGTTAATAAACAGGTCCCCCAAAAAGAAAATACAGTTCATCACGTTTTCTTACGTGTAGAGGCGGTTCCCAGCTTACGTCCATTCCATCATGCAAAGTTCTGGACTTATAACCAGTCCTCAAAGTGTCACCTGTCCATCACAGCATTCCCCCCCCCCACAGGACATGTAATTGCAATCTAGATGCTCAGCTCGTGATTATGATATTATTGCAAGGAGCTGCGGTCACCTGATCCCCATTTTCAACTTTCCCTGCCAGTTTCCCACAAGCAAAAGCAGTATGAAAGCCCGGAGGGAAGGTCCGAGGTCGGTCCAATAAATCATTCCCACTTTTTCTCCCCCAGGCCTTCACTGACCCTGCCCCATAGTCTCTCCAACTCCCAGCAGCACTCCCTACTGCCCCCCCCGCTTTAAAACTGCTTCACTTAGCAACAACAATCCCTTTTCCAATTTATGATGTAACCTGAGGAGTACCTGTATTTTAAACATTTGCAATATGGAGTTCAAGATAATATGCATGGCTCTTCCTCCACAATGTTTTCTCACAATTATTTTACAAAGCAAGCCAGAGATACAAACGCTAAACTAGCTTACTTTGGGTGCCCACCAAACAAGATAGAAAACCAATGGTCAGTATCACTTTGCCTACTCCTCCCCCATCCCCAAAATTGAGGGGGTCTAATTGGAGTTGACACTAATTGAGCATGTGGTGTAGGAAAACTATGAATAGAAGCATGTATAGGTCTGGAGAGAAGGGAAACTAAGAAATAGGCTAACTCCCCTTTCCCTATTTGGGCCACCTGCCATGTGATGGTTCAGTTAAATGCACCACAAGCATGGGGATAAACTGTGATTAATCTTGGCAGAGTCCCTTAATGGTCTAGGTTTAGATGTTGCTCCAAGCCTAACCCACTGTGGCTTAGCAACTCTTCCAAGATCATTTAATGGAAGTTTGTAAATCTAAATACGGAGCCATACTGACATATCTAGGGTGATTATTTTGGTGGGTGACCCTCAAAAAAACCAAGCAGAGTTGGATTCAGTTACCACTGGGATGAAAAACAGCCATACAGTATCAATGCTATAGGATAGTGGTTCTCAACCTGTGGGTCGCGACCCCATTTGGGGTCGAACGACCATTTCACGGGGGTCGCCAAACAACGCAGTCCGTCATTTTTTTCCCCTTTTCCTTAGCTGTGCTACTCCCTCTTATTCTATTGGCTTTTGAAAGCCAATAGAATAGACTCTATTCAAGAGACTCTATTCTATTGGCTTTCGAAAGCCAATAGAATCTATTGGCTTTCGAAAGCCAATAGAATAGACTTTCTTGAATAAAGGCTAATTCTATTGGCTTTCGAAAGCCAATAGAATAGACTTTCTTGAATAAAGGCTAATTCTATTGGCTTTCAAAAGCCAATAGGAATTGTCCAGGCTGTCTCTGCCCTGCTGAGGCCGCCAAAAGTCCCAGTCTGAAAACGGTGCTGTAAGTTGTCTGCAGCTAAGGCGAGGTTTCTGGACGTTTCCACCCCTCCCTGCTGAGCAACTACTAAATGTAAGT